GTGGTGGTGGTGGTGGTGGTGCTAGCACATTAGCAGTTTTTGAGAGGGTGATGGTAGAATTTAATTACTTGAGATGATCCGTCAACGATATGTTGTTGCTTGGAGGCATGGAACCAGGCCAAGCCGGCAGCTGCTTGGCTAGACCTTGGCATTAGCACACGCAGAATCCTGATGGAAGTTTTCAGAAGCGCGGAGCCCTCAAGAGCATAGTTGCAAAGTCGGCTGATTTTCTTGGGTTAGCAACCGTGGCAACTGAAGGTAAGTGTTGCCATGAAAGCCAACTGTCAAGATGGAGGTTCACGTGTCAAGCTCGGAGCAAGGTTTTCACAGCGCTCCGCGCTGCTTTCGGCGTGGCCCTCTTTGCTTCCATCGCCGTCATCTACACTGCGATCATTGCCATCAGCACTTCTTCCAGCTCAGATAGGGACCCCGCATTGGTGCATTTGCTACAACTTTCATAACAACAATAACAGTAGGAATGATCATGGACAGCAGGTAGTAACAGAATCATGGCAACTTTCAGAACATCTTGGAATGGCAGGACAGGCGAAGGGGGGGCGACTCCTTCGAAGGAGGAGGTGGATTCGGATTTGGCCCCACGCTGTACTATGGTCCTTCGTGTCTTGCCAGCAGTCGCAAAAATTTATGACACGCGGACGGGTCATGATTACGATGTTTGTCGGTGCTAGTGTCTCGTCGTTTTGAAGCTCCCAAGCTGACGTTCAAGAGAGAGACAGGCACATAAAGACACGCAGAATTCGCAATCAGAGAGGATTGTGGTTTCTGTCTACGGTGCTGCTGAAGGCCATTCGACGTGATCTTCTACAGACCGTACTACTCGTATGGCATGTTTGACGCAGATATGTACGAGTGCCCCGGTGGCAAGTAAGACGAATGATATGCGCAACCTCTGCCTGATTAGATTGCTGTGCTGCCTCAGGAGGGGTCCGACAGAGAAGCCAAAGATGGGCTTCCTCGAATCGGTCTACAGCAGCTTGCTCACAACCTTATGGCATAACGCTAATAGGCTGCCATCTCATTCATGGCCACACTCAAGGCTTCGTCTTTGGCGACGGAGATCCGAATGCTGGCCGATGCTCGCTCCACATTCTGCTCGCAACTGTTGGTAAGAGAGATCATCTGAGAAAGAACTCCTAACTTTAGATTTAGATGGCGCAAAGGTCCCGGCAAAGGTTTTTTCGGTTGTGAGGCGGGTACTTGGTGTCGGTCTGTTGCTCGTACAGGGCTTCGAAAGGTATGGGCAAGCGGAATTCGACATTACTCAACAGCTGTGGCCTGCTCTAGCGTTTGATTTCACACAGGGAGTTCACAGGATCAGAAGAGGACACTTTTTTTTTTCTATACGGGGACAACAAATCCTTGGCCGTAGTATTACTAACACTTGCCATTGATTACCACCGCTATTGCTATTGCCACCGTTCATTCGACAGATGCGATTATTGATATTATATTATACTACTAAGGAGACGGCCATTCTCATGCAAGATTGATGTGTTCTCCAAGGGCTGGACCGGCAGCTGGCAGCTGTGGCCGCTCTGGCGAGACGGAACGGTGGTGTACTGACAGCGGAGCAGATGGCACCTTTGTGCCTCAGCTGGAATGAGAGCGCCCAAAAGAACTTTCAGGCTGTAGTAATCGTAGTCATATTATTTTTAGTAGAAATGGGTTAATACTAGTGATGGTCGTTACCGTAGCAATAGTAGTCATAGTAGTAATGGCAGGAAAGAAGTTGCAGTGGCAACAATAGCAACAGTACTAGTAGTAGTCATAGTAGTAGTGGCAGTGGTAGTGGTGGTGGTGGTGGTGGTGGTGGTGGTGGTGGTGGTGGTGGTGGTGGTGGTAGTAGTAGTAGGAGTAGTAGTAGGAGTAGTAGTAGTAGTATTATTATTATTAGTAGTAGTAGTACTAGTAGTAGGGGCTTGCCGCGTATTTGACGGTGGTGTTTTCTGTGCGTCTGCATGCAAATTCACTGGCAGGCGCAGCATTCACAGTAGTGGCAGCACAGTTGCCAGGGCGGCTGAACACAATTCTTGCCGGCATCTTTGGCCTCTAAGGACGTAGTTTCAGTTGTCGCTGCCATGGGGCGGCGGCCGTTAAAATTAAATCAGAACTCCTCACACCCTTGGACTAATGGGGCGTAGCCTGGACTAATGGGAACTACCCTGGACTAATGGAGCGATGATAAAATTGAATCAGAACTCCTCACACCCTTGGACTAATGGGGCGTACCCTGGACTAATGGAAGCTACCCTGGACTAATGGGGCGATGATAAATTAAATCAGAACTTCTCACACCCTTGGACTAATGGGGCGTACCGTGGACTAATGGGAACTACCCTGGACTTAATGGGGCGTTGATAAAATTAGATCCGAACTCCTCACAACCTTGGACTACTGGGGCGTAGCCTGGACTAATGGGAACTACCACGGCCTAATGTGGCGATGATAAAATCTAAGCCAGAACTCCTCACACCCTTGGACTAATGGGGGGTA